CGAGGAGGACGGTCCAGGCTGTTGCCGCTGCTGTGACTGCCGTGCTTGTGAAGCAGGATCAGGATACAGCGGTGGCGAGGCTTGGGACGGAGCCAAGGGTGACAGTTGGAGTTCCGGGTACTGTGGTTGGTGCCTGTGAGACGCAGGTGCTTGTTGACCAGCTTCGCGAGGCTCGCAGAGCTAAGCGGCAGCGCAAGCGCCAGAGACGAAGGGAGAAGGCCCAGGCTGCGGTTGCTCCTTCTACGTGCTCTGATGCCAAAGCAGTCATTCTTACTGCGGATCATTCAAAGCGGGTGGGCCAATCAGGTTTTTCAACCTGGGAGGAGGCCTACAATGCGACTGGAATGCCAACAAAGACTGTGCGGACATTCAGTGAATCTGAAAGCATGTCTGACGTTGCGGTGGGGAAACGCAAGACCTCTGACGACTTTGCTTTTGGCGCAGCTTCCGAGCTGAACCGGCCTCGACGGGACGTGCGGCGACCGATGGAGGGTTTCCAAGCTCTGAAGACTGCTGTGCATGGTTCGCACCGCAGAGACCAACAGTTGAAGACACCTTCTCAACCAGAAGCCGCCTGTGAGGAGAAGGAACAACGGGTGCCCAAACCGGACCGACCCAGGAAGCAGCCTACAGGTCCGTACTAATTAATCAACTGCTCAACCACCTCCTGGCCCTGGTTGCAGTCTTTTCGTGGCTGTGCTTTCAAAGCACTGTGTACCATGTTATGGATCTGTGAAAAACAGATCGCTTGTATAGTGTCAGGATCTGCACATGCCAGGTCATTCGTCTTTGCTCGACCAGACGCAAGTCCGCATCACACCACAAGACCCTATTCTAATTATTAAAGCCCGTTGTTTCAACGCCTTTTTCCGTCTGACAGATGCTTCTACCATCCAGAATCTGCTTTAGGTTCAGGGCCTAGGGTTTCGATAAAGCGCTAAGCTGAGCACGTAGATCGAGGAAAGCCAGACCGCAGGAATGGACATGTAGAGGAGCAGCTCGGCAGTGACGCCTTCAAAGGTTTCGTAAACCCTGACTTACAACACTACAATGCCGAAACCCTAAACCCTAAACCCTAAGCCCTAAACAATCAGGCAAAACAACTACAAGTCTAACTCTTGCTCTAAACTCTAGGGACTTCAACAGACGAAAGATGTACATGGAGGCTTATGGCAACTAAAGCTCACCGGAACGACTACCAACACCCAACACTCCCACCCAGACCCACATCCTCACGTATTTTACGGCGGTCAAACCATAATCCCTAAACCCTAAACCCTAAAAACCCTAAACCCCAAACCATAATCCCTGAACCCTACCCTAAACCCTAAACCCTATATACACTGTGAACCCCCGAAAATCTTAGAGCTCCTGCCTCATGACCCCCTCAGGCTCCCCTTCCGTGGATGAATGGGGTATGGCTTTAGGGTGTCAGCGCGTAGGGCTCAATGACATGCACCTATAGTCGCAATGTAGTTATACGGCTGATGACACAAATCCTGCATTACACATAATAAGGACTAGACCATAATGCCCATAGTTTAGGGTCCTTGAGGTAATGCAGGATTTCTATCATCAACAGTATGCTATAACATGTCCCAAAACCCTCATTTGGTTTCGAAGGCCCCGTTTGAAGTGAAAGGCTTCGGTTCGAAGTACCCCAGGGCTTAGTTGATGGTTGGAAGTTGACACCGTCACGTGTCCCCCTTAACGGGTTTGGAGCTCAGCTTCCTTTATGGGCTTAATGGATTGCCAAGGGTGCTATAACCATAACCCTACTATGGAAGCCAAAATCTATATTGGGGGGGGGGTTCCTTATTATAATTAAAGTATAATATACCCCAAAACCCTATTCTAATCATTAAGGCCCCTACATCATACGGGTTTCACAGGTCGCTATTGGGGTGCCATCGGATTCAGTTTGTAGCTCTTCAGGATCCCCCAATCCCAAACCCTAGGCCCAAAGCCCTCGGTTTAGGGCTTAGGGCGTCGGGTTTAGGGTTTGGGGGTTTAAGGTTTAGGGCATAGGGTTTAGGGTTGTTTAGGTTTTGGGGGTTTAGGGTTTAGGGCGTCGGGTTTAGGGTTTAGGACAGAACACACTCCATGCATGACGCTCCTGCTACCCAGGGATCGGAGAACTGGAAGGTAAAGTTGCTCAAGGTCGTGCACGCCGTCAGCCAGAGGATGTGTTGCCTGCAGTATCGGGCTAAGTTCGCAGTGGAAAGTGGAATGAGTGTTTAGGGTTTAGGGTTTAGGGTTTAGGGCCTTTCTCAAGATCACAAACCCTAAACCCTAAACCCTAAATTTGGGCCCATTAGGTAGTTTGTCATCTTGCGCCTTGAGGGCCAACTAGAAGGAAGAGGAGCCGAGAAAACCACTCCCTCGATTGATTCCATGAGCACAGACTGTAGGGGCCTTCATAGTTAGAGTAAGGGATCCTTAAAGGGTTCTATATGGGCTACTATACGGGTTCTATAGGATAGGGACCTTCATGATTAGAAAAGGGTTTGGGGGTATATTATACTTTAGTTATAGCAAGGAACGCCCAAAATAATATAGGTTATCATTTAGGCCCCTACATTAAGCCAACTTGCTAAAACCAAGACTCTGAATCCAACCCTGCAGCGATCCAATACAGAGGTCCAAATCGTCGAAACGTAGGCCTTGAGGGTTTAGGGTTTAGGGCTTAGGGTTTTGGGGTTTAGGGTTTAGGGTTTAGGGTTAGGAAGTGTCCCAATGGAGCACGACCTGTTCAGGGGCCTCTATCCGACGGACCCCCATACCCCTCAAGTTAGGAATATACCTCAGATCATAAAGGGTTTAGGGTATACGTGAACCCAACCCTAAACCCTTACAAAGCCCTAGACCCTAAGCTCCAAAACTCTAAACCCTCATCCCTAATCCCCCTTCCCCCCCTCTCCCTCCCAGACCAAAAAAAACAAAACACAACAAACATCCCCCTAAACCCCACAAACCCCAAAAGCCCTAAACCCTAAACTTCCTAAACTTCCCAAACTTCCCAAACTTCCTAAACTTCCCAAACTTCCTAAACTTCCCAAACTTCCTAAATTTCCCAAACTTCCTAAACTTCCTAAACTTTCTAAACCCCAAGCTTCCTAAACTTCCTGAACCCTAAACCCCAAACCCTATAACCCTAAACCCTAAACCCTGAACCCTATAACCCTAAACCCCAACCCTAAACCCTAAACCCTAAAACCCAAAACCCCAAACCCTAAACCCTAAACCCTAAAACCCTAAACCCTAAACCCTAAAACCCAAAACCCCAAACCCTAAAAAACCCGAAACCGGCGAAAATGACGAGCAGCTGCTGGCGCCAGCAGCGGACGTCGGGGCCAAGGGGGCCTCCCGCTTTCCTCTGCATGGAGGTCGCGTTTTAGGGTGTGGGATTTAGGGTTTAGGGTTTTGGGTTTAGGGTTATAGGGTTTAGGAATTAGGGTTTAGGGTTTAGGCTTAGGATTCAAGGATTAGGGTTTAGGGTTTAGGGTTTGGGGTTTATGGTTTAGGGCTTAGGGTTTGGGGTTGGTGGGATGCAGGTAGGAAGGAATGAGGATCCCTTGTAGAAGGACTCTTATTCGGTGATTCCCTACCTACCTTCAACCCGCCTTTGGAGCCCTTTGAATGGAGGAGGGAAGGTAGGGAGTACTATAAAGGAACCTTAAAGGAAGCCTATCATACTTCTTATAGGAACCCCTTTAAAGGAACCCTATAGAAGCCTAAAAAAAGAAATTCCGGCTGCTAGCAGCAGCAAGCGGATTCAGGAGCGCTTCTTGGGAATGGTGTGAGGTTCGCACTAGACAGTTTAGTGCTTAGGGTGTAGGGTTCAGGGTTTATGGTTCAGGGTTCACGATTTAGGGTTCAAGGATGATGGTTTAGGGTGCAGGGCTTAGGAATCAGGGTTTAGGGTTTAGGGTTTAGGGGTTTAGGGTTTTGGACCTCCGAAATGCAAAGATCATGCGCCGAACCTGGGAAAACCAAACCCATGTTGAAAGTCACACCCACCGACTGGGGGAAATCGTGAAGTCGCAAATCCTGCACTAAGAGAGTGGGGTTTAGGGTTTAGGGTTTGCAGCGTGTCCTGTCTTCTGCCGAGGCAATGAGGAAGAATATCAGCGTGTAGACCAAGGTCGTCGAGTAGTTAATGTACGCCGGCGACTTCCTGTGGTGTCACGAATTGGCTACGACTCTTTCTTGGATCTATAAACCCTATAAACACAGGACCATTCAAAAAACCCTTAACCCTAAACCCTAAACACTCAAAGCTTGAAACTGGCGAATCCCCTACAGAGAATGCCAGAGTTGAGATGGGCCATCATCGCAAGACCAGTAAGGCACACGAAAAACTCCAAAACCCCTCGTCCCGAAACCCCCAGTTTGAAGATCTTGAGTTAGGGCTTAAGGTTTGGGGTTTTGAAGATGTTGAGTTAGGGCTTAGGGTTTAGGGCTTGGGGTTTTGTAGATCTTGAGCTTCGCAGCCCTGGGCTCCTGAACCCCCAAAATCCTTGGGATCTACGATTCTGGGTCCATATCCTGTGTCCCTTACTGATTAGTGAAACAGCTTACAAGTAGGTGATGGGCGAAACACCGAAATTCTCGAGGCAGCGGTGAAAAAGCTGCTCCCAAAGTAGGGTTTCCTTGAAGGGTTCCTTGGGTTCCGTTTAACGGTTCCTTTTCCGGGTTCCTTTTAAGGGATACTGGAATAGGGTTCCTTCGGCTCCTTTTCAAGCCGTTCCAGGGTCAAGCAAGCAAATAATTATGTGGTTTCCTTAAAGACGACATGAACCCTCAAAGGGTTTAGGGTTCAGATGCCATACAAGGTTTCATAGTGGAAGGGAATAGGGCCCCTACTCTTAAAAGGTCGTGGATGTTGTTTAACCTCTATAAGTACATACTTACTCTACAACTGGGGGATGGAGGGGTTTGGGAATCAGGGCCTGCCCTAGGAGCACGTTTTAGTGTTATTTTGATGCGTTGCTATTTGGGTTTAGGGTTTAGGGTTCGAGAAACGTTTCTGTGAGGTCCCAAGCTGAAACCAACTGAATATCCGGTACTGTTACGGGGGATACTTCCCTACAAACCCTACGTCCACACAGGTACTTGGGAACCACTAAAGGAACTGTAAAGCCCCCTTAAAGGAACCTATAAAGGTACATAGGGCCCTTTGGATAGGCAACGGTGCTTCTAGCACTAAATCCGCCGCGCTTCGGCATGAGGAAAGCCATCATCGAGCCGCCGACATTGCATGCCACGCACATGCACCTCAGGATGTCCCTGAACCCTAAACCCCTACACCCTAAACCCTAAACCCTAAGAGTGACTTGACACCCGAATGGGGTGGCTTAGGGTTTAGAGCTCCAGTGTTGAATTCAGGGCTCAGACTTGTGGATTGATTCGGGGCTGAATTGAATCAAGGGCTTACGTTTAGGGCTGAAGGGATAAAGGTTCAGGTATTCATATACTTGAGCTTAAGGTTACACAAAATGTGCGGTTTGCGATTTAGGGTTTAATTTGGAGATCCAGTTAAGGAAACCGTTGCACAAACACGGAACAAGCTAAAGATGTCCGCAAGGGTTCAGGGCCTCGGAGAAAGGGGGGGGGGGGTGATCTGGAGAACCCTTAAACCCCAAATCCTCACGGTTCATAGCCTGAACACTATGCTTCTTAATACTATAATGATGGATTACCAGTAGCATGCCTTACTAGACCCTAGACCCTAGACCCTAAACCCTAAGCATACCCCAAAGCCCTATTCGAAGTCCAAAGGCCCCATATTACCCTGGTGAGTCCTGCTCCCGCCTTCGACCTCGCCCTTTACCATGATACTGTTGATGATATAAATCCTGCATTACCTTAATGGGTTTAGGGTTTAGGGTTTAGGACACAAAACTATGGGAAAAATTGTATATTCGTTCTTCTGGGTACTGCAGGATTAATATCATCATCCGTACGTCGTCCCAAGAACGTCTGGAATCTAGGGAGTAGGGAAACTGTGCGCCCAGTATATTGCTCTACTATGCGCTTCTTTAGTCGATGAGCCTGTTCTGAAGGGCCTAAAGACAGACAGGGCTCGATTTCACATCAGTCGGGTAGTCCTACAAAGTTGAGAATTACACTGGGTTGCAGCGGGTTCATAAGGCTTGCGAAAGCCAGGGCGCAGCGTGGCTGCGACGAGGCAGCAGACCTTCACCGGCACAGACAAATCAGAAACCAGGCGCTCTCTCGGCAGATTCCAATCTCAAGCCCCATACCCTAGACGCTTGACTTCACAACAACAAACCAAAACAAGGCACCCCAAGGGCCATTGTCTTCTAGGGCAGTTCCATAGTGATCGTACTAGATCTTGAATGGCTCTTATAGATTATACCTAAACTCGACACCCCAAACCCAAAACGCCCAAACCCCAAACCCATAAGCTTAAACTCCAAACCCTAAGCCTTAGACCCCAAACCCTAAACTCTAAGCCCTAAACCCCTCTTATTGAATCAAAGGAACCCATGGAGCCCTGCCCCAAGGAGTCCATCACCGCGTGCCTGGCAGACATCGCGGTTCAAGTTCCATCGATGAGCCGGCCTGTCTTTCGGTTTAATATAGGCCTTCCTAGTTAGATTCTATAAGGGATCTACAATAGGGTTTAGGGTGTAAGGGCCTTCCTAATTTGAATGGGGTTTTGGGGCCCATTACACTATCCTCATAATAAGGAACCCCCCAACATAGTAGTGGTAATTATTTAA